CCTCGCAAGAGGATAATTGAGCCCCTTTGTGGGAATATTGAACCTCGCAAGAGGATAATTGAGCCCCTTTGTGGGAATATTGAACCTCGCAAGAGGATAATTGAGCCCCTTTGTGGGAATATTGAACCTCGCAAGAGGATAATTGAGCCCCTTTGTGGGAATATTGAACCTCGCAAGAGGATAATTGAGCCCCTTTGTGGGAATATTGAACCTCGCAAGAGGACAATTAAGCCCCTTTGTGGGAATATGAAACGACTACCCCAATGCGGGTACTCTCAGCCTTCTAAATGTGATTTAACTCATGAGAAACAAAAACGAATTCCAGCACTGAACGGTATGCGTCTTTGTTATGAAAACATAGCTACTCTTATAAGCCAAAAATACATGAAAGCTGTGACAAATAAAGATCAACATTATTTTAATGCTCATATTGTCAATGAAGATTTAAGCTTATGTACTGTAAGAAATGTGTGTTTTAAACATATAAAACAACGTGCCAGAGATAGGGAGCCATCTAGAATTCCTGTACAAAAGCTATTTCGAATATTAAGAAAAAGAAAACTCGGGAAAAAATTCAAAACATTTGTGAGGGTATCAACTCCATTATCATCAAAGCTCTATGATTTAGTTGTTAATTCTAAACTATGGAATGGTAGACATTATTTTAGATATAACTACCACTGCAAAAATTGTACTATTGCCATTGAAAGACTATCAAAACATAACCTTCAAGATTTTGACAGACCAGTTATGAAAAAAAAGAATTCATGTTTACATGAAAAAGAATATTTTACACATTCATATGACGTATCTGCCATTAATATTGCACTCTCAGGAGATGTTGAATTAAACCCAGGTCCTAGAATCACGTCTAACATAACTGGCAAAGTATTAATACCATATCATGATCCTCAATTTGTATTTAAATACAGATTACTTAGGTATAGACTAAAACCATTAGATGTCGGTGGTGGAGGTGATTGCTTTTTTAAGTCAGTATCTCATCAATTGTATGGTGATCCAAGTCACCATTCACAAATAAGAGCAGCTGCCATGAGGTATTTAAATGAACATCCCGAACGATTTATTGAAAGTAATACACTGGTGTCATGGTTACAATATGTAACAAATATGTCCTTACAAGGTACATGGGCAGATCATATCATAATTCAAGCAGTAGCTGATGCAATGAATTTAAAAATTCATATAATAGAATCAGATGAAAATTTTACAGATACAACAATCGTTGAACCAGCTAACATGATAGAAAATGTTACTTCTATATTCATAGGTCACATAGGCGAAATGCACTATGTATCGACTACTTCTGCTTTGTGTAGACAAGATTCACAGGAAAGTAACTCAACTAATTTGCCTATTGATAAATCAGTGAAAAATCCTCTTAAAAGAAGACACACACTTGAAATACCAGAGATAGTCAAAGTTAAGTGCATTAATACTGAAGGAAAAAAGGAATTACTAGTCTCTTCCAAATTGAACAAAACTTCAGAAAAGAAAAGTAGAGCAGCTTATATGAGAGAATATAGGTCAAATAGAACTGATTCATTAAAAAAGGAAAAACTCAAGAAAACTAAGAGGCAATATAGAGCAAAAAAATCATGTCCAGAGGAAAAGGCCAGAATCAATGAATATCAAAAAAAGTATAGAGCAAAGACTGCAAGCCCAGAAAAAAAGTATAAAATAAATGAATATATGAAACAGTATAGAAGAAATAAATCTTCAAAAGATAAAGCAGAAAATAGCATTGACATTTGTATATCAAGTTTTCACAAACTTGTAAATCAAGGTCCTTTATATATTTGTATATGTTGTGACCAATTATGGTATAAGCACAGTGTTTCTGATTCAAGTAAAATAAAAAAGTCCAATCCTGAAATTATAAAATATCTTTGTGATAAGAAGAGTGTTGATGGTAAAGAGTGGATTTGTGGAACATGCCGCAGCTACTTAGTCAAAAACAAAGTACCCCCATGTGCTATTTCTAATGGAATGAAGTTTCCAGAAAAACCAGATTTTTTTGACCTCAATGAATTGGAATGTAGATTACTTGCACCACGAATTGCATTTCAAAAACTGATGCAAGCTCCTAGAGGCAATCAACTTAAGATACATGGCAATATTGTTAATGTACCTGCTGATGTTACTAATACAGTCAGTACATTACCAAGGCTGCAGAGCCAAACAGGCACCATTAAAATAAATTTAAAGAGAAAATTACAGTACAAAAGCTCTGCATTGTCACTGAATGTAAGGCCATTCAAGGTTATTGAAGCAGCAAACTGGCTAATCAAAAATAGCAGCCTTTATAAAGATGAGGGCATAGTATTTGATGCTAATTGGATAAATAAGTTCAATGAAGAGATAGCACACAATCAATTTGGTGATCAAAATGGCTCAGTCACACAAAGCCAAAATAATGATAAGGAAACAGATACAAATGATGAAAGCATAAACACTGAAGATGAATTTAGTGAAGATGAAGGAGAAACACCTGCAGGTGTAACTGACACTATGTTAACACCAACTGATTTTGTAGAGGATAATGAAAGACAGCATATTCTTAATGTTGCTCCAGCTGAAGGTAATAAGCCATTAAGTGTTTTTAGAGATAAGTACTCTGAGGAATTAGCATATCCTGGAATATTCTTAGGTCAAGCTCGACCAGAAAATAAACAACGCTTAGTTAAGGTTAATTATAGTGATATCTGCAAATCAGAATTAAGACGCTCTGATAGACGTGCTGCCATGTGTGTTGAAAATATATTCTATAAAACAAAGAAATTACAAATGAAAATTCTTTTAGGAAAGTCCAATATTGCTATGAGGAAATGTAAAGGTAATAATAGAAGTATAAATGCAGGTCAATTGAAACAAGAGGGAGCAGTAGACAAATTAATTCGTCTTGATGAAGGTTATAAATTCCTGAATGCATTAAGAGGCTCACCTCCATACTTTGAGAAAGCTAAAAAAGACCTGTTTGCAATGATAAGACAATTAGGACCAGCTACACTGTTTTGTAGTTTCTCATCAGCTGAAACACACTGGATACATTTATTGAGAATACTTGGTCAACTTGTAGATAATAAGCTATATTCTGATGACCATTTAGAAAATCTGAACTGGGAAGAGAAGTGTCGATTAATACAAAATGACCCTGTGACGTGTGCCAGGCATTTCGATTATCAAGTAAATCAATTTCTTACAAACTTTCTCTTGAGTCCTGCTGAACCATTAGGTAAAATATCTGATTGGTTTTACCGTGTAGAATACCAACAAAGAGGATCTCCTCATATTCACATGTTAATATGGCTTGATGGGGCACCTCAGTTTAAAGTTGATAGTGATGAACAAGTCACAGCATTTATTGATAACATAATAACATGTCAAAAACCAGTGAATGATGCACACTTAAGTGATTTAGTGAATGGTAGACAAATACACAAGCACTGTCATACATGCCGTAAGAACACAAGAAGTCAATGTAGATTCAATTATCCACAGCCTCCATTGAGGAAAACTATGATAATTTATCCTCTTGACAATGAGATGCCTGATGGTGAGATAAAAATGCACAAAGATAATTGGAGTACAATAAAGAAACATCTAGATGATATGATAGAAGGCGAGGATATCTCTTTTGATCAATTACTATTAAATCTGAATATTAGTGAGGAAGACTATCTGAATGCTATCAGCTCATCAGTAAATACACCCACTGTCTTTTTGAAAAGGAACCCAAATGAATTACGTGTTAACAATTACAATGCTGCTTGTCTCAAAGCATGGAGAGCTAATATGGATATCCAATTTGTACTTGATGTTTATGGTTGTGCTGTATATATAGTGAATTACATATCAAAAGGTCAGAAAGGCATGAGTGAACTTTTACGACAAGCCTGTGCTGAAGCCAGAAAAGGAAATTCAACTATTAAACAGCAAGTTAGAGACATCGGCAGTAAATTTGTCAATAATGTAGAAATAAGTGCTCAAGAAGCAGTCTATATAGCATTACAATTACCTTTCCGAAAAGCATCAAGGCAAATAATATTTATAAATACCTCTCCTCCTGATGAGAGAGTTGAACTTTTAAAACCAATTAATGACATAAAAGAAATGGATGATGACTGTGAAGAAATATATACTAGTGGATTAATAAAAAGGTATTGTAAACGTCCAGCTAAACTAGAAAATGTGACATTAGCAGATTGGGCTGCCTGGTATGATAAGACTGGAAAACCATATATCAAACAAACAGATGAATTAGATTTTGATGGGCTGCCACTAGAATCATTTGTTGATGATGATCAAAATGATGATGAATGCGAATTGAAAAGTAATACTGGAAAATCTAAAAAGAGAGCTAAAGCTAGAATAATCAGAAGCGCATGGTTTAATAAAGAATCTGAACCAGAGAAGCATTACAGAGAATTGTTAATGTTATTTACATCATGGCGCAATGAAGAAGTTGATCTTCTTAGTAATTGTTCATCTTACCAAGAGAGATTTATGCAAGTTCACAACATGATTGATGAACAAATGAAGCAATATGCTGTATGTAGAGAAGATCTTAGTGAAATACAATTGGAGATGAATAGACTGGAAGAAATATATGATGCTATAGCTCCAGGCACTCAAAGCATTGAGCATGAAGATTGTACTGAAGGTAACCAGGATTTACACCCTGACTTTAACGAAAACTATAACCTATCAGATGACTTAGGAATACCATCAGTTGATAATACTGAACCTTTGACAATGAATGAATTACCTGATGATGAATACAGACAAATGGTACAAACATTAAATAAAGAACAAAAAGAGTTCTTTTATCATGTCCTGCATCTTATAAAGACATCTGATGAACCATTTTACTGTTTCCTTAGTGGAGGTGCTGGTGTAGGCAAATCACATGTTACTAAAGCTGCATATCAAGCAGCTATTAAATATTACAATACTAGAGTAAGTATAAACTTTGCTGAAGTAAAAGTATTAATGCTAGCACCAACTGGTAAAGCAGCATACAATATTAAAGGTAACACAATACATAGTGCACTAGCAATACCAGCATGTCAGTCATTACGACAATATAAAAAGCTTGATTCTGGCAGATTAAACACAATCAGATGTCAAATTGGTGGAGTGAAACTTATATTTGTAGATGAAATCTCCATGGTAGGAAACACTATGTTTAATGTGCAATTCAAYAATAGACTCAAAGATATCAAAGGTAGCTCACTACCATTTGGTGGTGTTAGTATTATTGCTATTGGTGATTTATTCCAACTACAACCTGTAATGGATGGATATATATTCAAAGATATGGATAATTTTGAATACGGAATTCTTGCACCTAATTTCTGGAAAGAATTATTCAAAATGTTTGAACTCAAGCAAATAATGAGACAAAGAGACAGTAAGCACTTTGCAGAAATGTTGAATAGGTTACGAGAAGGAAATCAAACTGAAGACGACATAAAAAAATTCAAAGAAAGAATAATAAATCATAATAACATTGATTATCCAAACCATGCTCCTCACTTGTTCATTCAGAATGCTAAAGTAAATGAATTCAACCATAAAGCACATAATGCATTACCAGGAACAAAATACTCAATCAAAGCACATGATAGTGTTATAGGAGCTGAGTCACAAGAACTTAGAGACAAAATACTTCAACAAGTACCAAGTGATCCTAGAAAAACAAAGCAGCTATACTCTGTACTTAAACTAGCAGTAGGTGAAAGAACTGAAATATCTCTCAATACTAGAACTGATGATGGTATGACTAATGGTGCTGGTAATGTTATTAAACTAATACAAATACATCAAGTGGACAAGCCATCAGGTATCATATGGGTACAGTTTGACCATCCTGATGTTGGTCACAAAACTAGACATGATAACAGACAGTTGTATACTGAAGGTATTCAACGATCATGGACACCAATTAAACCTGTTACTACTCAATTTGCTGTAGGTAGAAATAGAACTGTACAAGTTGTAAGAAAGCAATTTCCACTGAGACCTGCTGCTGCTAAAACTATTCATAGATCGCAAGGTGATACTGAAACTACAATTGTAGCTAATTTTGAAACTAAAAGAGCCATACCTCATATTCATTATGTTGGGCTTAGCAGAGTTACAACTATAGAAGGATTATATATAACTGATTTTTGTGAAAACAAAATAGCTATTTCTCCTGATGTTCAGAAGGAAATGCAAAGGTTAAGAACTGAAGCACAACTTAAACCTTGCATAACTCCAATTTACAATGCAGATCCAATCAATTTCAAATTATGCTCTCTTAACTGCCGGTCTTTGCATAAGCACATTGATGACATTCGCAATGATCTCAATTACTCTGCAACAGATATTAGTATATTCTTTGAAACAAGATTCAGTCCGATTGAAAGTGATTCTACATACACAATAAATAACTACAATTTATTCAGAAATGATGGTGTATCAAACACAAATGTTAGACCATATGGTGGTACAGCTGTTTATACCACATTAGATTACTATCCTGGGTATCCACAGATACRTAATGCTTCTGATATTGAAATCACAWTAACAAGATTTATGATTCTCCCRCATGTTACAATTRTAGGAATTTRCAGGCCWCCAAACATACATGKCAGGCAATTGTGTSAAGCTTTAAGASAAGAAATTCAAYTACTGTCATCACAATATGCARTATTTATTGGTGRTTTTAATTWCAATTGGTTTGATAAAAAYCAMAAAAACTCTCMACTSTATAATTTGTTYATAAAAGATTATAATTACAGACARMTAGTGACAAARTGYACAACAGATAACAAGACYTGTATTGATCAYATWTATACTAATTTACCAGAGTCCTTCATTTCATTCAATGTCTTGGAGACATACTTTTCAGACCACAAAGCAATCTATGCTTTAATCAACTGCTTTTCATAGAATTTCCTTTAAATATCCTGCTAATGATAATAAAAGCAACAATAGCCTAGTAAGAAGATAATTGACCCCTTTGTGACGATATTGGGCCTCATAAGAGGATATTTGAGCCTCTTCCTGGAGATATTGAGACTCGTAATAGGATATTTGAGCCCTTTGTCAAAATATTAAGTCTCGTAAGAGGATAATTGACCCAATTTATGGACATACATGTATCAAAGAACAAACCACTTGTGTATAACTATATAATTAAATTGACTAATTTTCATGACTTATTACCATTCGTGCTAGAAAGTCTTATATTCCTCAATCAATATTACTTTTGGTAAGCAAAACGATAAACAAAAATATGTAATATGTAAAATTACATACATTTCTTTCTATTTTCATTTCGCCATAAATTTGTTCACATTTTAGCCAGGGTTGTAAAACTTTCCAAAAAATGTTTATTTCTGGTAGTTCATTCACATAACAGTGACAGAGTGTGTTCACATATTTCATATTCAGATTAAACAAATAGACAGACAGCCATTGTTGGAAAATTGCATTACATTTCTTTGTATTTTTATTTCACCATAACTTTTTTCCCATTTTCTCAAGAGTCCTAAAACGTTCCAAAAACGTTTATTTCTGATAGTTCTTTCATGTTACAGTGACAAAATATTCATATCTATCTTATTTTGGAAAAACACAATAATTGCAGCCATTATGGCAAACATGTATTATAATCTCAGTCTTCATTTTTTTTTTTACTTAAAAATTAATAGGTAGGTACATTAATAAAGTTAGTAATTTTATATATTCTTATTCTCACAAACTTATCTATTAATGTCCTTTATATGCATAAAGCCTTTTGTATATTGTGACTAATTACATGTCTGGATATTTCATTATGTTACAATTTATGCTATTTGTTGTTTTGCCTTAGCAACATTCATTTATTTCAAAGTATCACAGACAGAACATCGATATGGTAAGTACAAATCTATGGTTGATATTTTTTATTCACTTAATTTGTTCCTCATGACTTAGAGTAATTTCTTTTTTTAGGAATCAAGTGAAAATGATATTACTAAGGTAATTTGTATTACTCATAATATCCCTAGCAAATGAAATGTAAGTTCTAATGTTCTTAATTCTTTTTTTAMAGATTTCTACTGATGTATTTAGGGAAAGTACAGAATACGAAAGAAAACAAGATGATGTATATAAGTGCATTTAAAAGATAATAATTATAGTCATTTGATGAAAGACAAGAGCAACCAAAATGATATGTAACTAACTGTATCTCATGATAATCAGACAAACTTCATTGCATACTGACATTACCTTCCTCCATTCTTTCACAATTATGTCTTGCTACACTTTGGTAAAATCAAAGTTTTCTAACCACAGTTTCGACATTTCTATATTAGCAGCAGCAACATGCAAACATTGCATGACATAAAACAAAAAATAACAAACGACCTAAAAAATTTTCAAGTATTTTATCACTGTCTTAGTAATTGCTACAATAATTCCACAATCCCCTTGGTGTAGCAAATTTTAGAAGCACAATCCTATAAATATCAAAACTATTGTTTAACAAAATTTCATTTGATTTGTTTTAACTGCTTAGAATATATTATTCCTTAACAATATTTTATTATAATTGCTATGCTTATTTTTTTTTTAAATACTATTTTAGATATCAGATGAAATATTAGATGAGATCCAGGATCTAACAGAAGGAAAAGCAAGTGGATTCATACATAATGTATCACCACTGAAAAACAACAACCACTTTGATTTCCAACTTCAAATGAAGAGTAAGACCGTAAGAGCAGTATGCTTTGCACCAGCAAAAAGAAAACATATTCAAAACTACTGCCAGGTCAAAAGTCCAGTGAAAATAAAAAAATTTCGCCTTGAGACTAAGAGCAACAGCGAAGATATAATATTAGATCACACAGCAGATATCGAGGAATATCCTCAAATAGATTTTCAAAGAAAAGAGATACCAACAAATTTAACAATTTCTCAACTTAAGTCAGTCTGTGTGGGACAACTAATAACCATTAAGGGTAAGATAACGTCCATGCAACCAATGAAACAACTAGAAAATAGTGCTCTCAAGCTAGTAGAAGCCATTATTATTGACCCAACTGATAGCATCAAAATCATAATATGGCAAGAACATATTGATGATGTAGAAGAAGGCAAAACATATCTTTTTAAGAACATCAGAGTTAAAAAAAACTCTGTGTCAAAAGAAACTTATGTCAATACCGCAAAATCAGACAAAACAGAAATCATTGTTACTGATGATTTCACAGAACAATTAGCATTGCCTTTAAGTGATTATACAATGAAAACTGTAAGAGGAGAGATATTGGGTGTCGACAGGATCACTGTATATCGTAGCTGTTTCAAATGTCACAAAAAGCTAGAGTCCTTCAACGAAAATCATGCATACATAGAATGCACTAGTTGCAAATTCGCACAAAAGCCAAAGGCTTGCCCACACCAATGCGTTGTTTATGCCACTTTTCTCTATGACAAAGAAAAATTGACTCTAACATTCTTCACAAATGTTGTTCTGTTAGTTCTCAAACAAATGCAATTACCACAAGACAACTTAACTGAGCAGAATCTTAAGTCCGTATTCTTTACATTACCAGAAGGTGTTGAACTTACCTTTAATAAAAAAAATAAAGTAGTTTCAAACATTTTGATACATTAGGTTATGTTACAAGATGTAAGTATCTTAATTTTTACAATCATTGTAAAATATCTTATAATGCAAGATAAAGTGTTCACATACACATTTAGTTCAAATTTTAGTTATAACATTGCGTTCTTATATAAATCACTCTTTCAAATGCGATTTTTAGTTCTGTTCAAACTATGCTGTTTTCTGTTATGTTTCATTAATAAATTCATCTCTCATTACACGTTTGTTGTATTTCTAATTCAAACTGTTGTTCAGCAATCAGATATCCTTGTGTCATCCATATTTACTAAATACCAACTGTATTTGTTTTAACGATTTATAATTAACAATTTTTTTTAAATTTTATCCTTTCTAAGTATTCCCAATGGCATGTTTAAATTATTAATAGTACACAAATCACATTTCAAACTTATGACAAACTTTCAGCTACTTCGACTGTTTCATTTCTAGGATGACCATTATAACTAAATCATACTGTATTAGCAATAACCACATACACTTTTTAAAAGCCTTTTTTTATTTTCATATCTCAACTCTATTAAGGTGCAACAACAGTAGCAAAATAAACGCTGATTGACTCTAAATATTTGTCTTTCACAGCTTAATAAAACAACTGAATTCCTTCACATATATTTATAGGCATAATTGTGCTAAGCACATTCGCTCATTGAACGACTTTAGTTCTAAAAAAATACTCCAATTGTCAATTCACTTTGAAAGTTGTAATTAAATGTACATGTTGGTACGTTGTTTGCTTTTCTTTGCAAAAACTCTTACGCATGCTTAATCAAAACATAGAAAACTTAATTATTACAAGATACATTCTAAATGACTCACAAAATGCAACTTAAGTGACAAATTACAGGATTTATGAAAGTCTAATCTAAACAAAACTGTATTCTCGTTCAAAATTTTCAAAAATACATTTAAGATACCCACAAGTTGTCCAACAAATGAAAAACATGTTTTCTTATGTAAAGTGTACATAATTTCAAAAATAAATATTAGAGTACAAACTCTAAAGGTGTTCAACAATTTGCATTATATTATTGATAAATAGTGACAGCTCAACAATACAAAACAAAAGAATTAGCATAATTTAGGAGTATTTAGTGGTACTTATGTTGCACAGTTTTAGTGTTTGTACTCTACCTTTTTTTGAGAGATAAAAAGCACATTGGGAGTAACCACAAGCGCTCTTTGAGCGCCTTTAATTGAAAAATGCAACAAAATGGATTTTTGCTCAAAATCTATAATTCGAGGCATTAGCCGAGGACTGGAACTAATTGCAAGGACTTGAAATCCCATCCAGTCCAAATTGGGGGACTTTGAACGACTTCTCATACTCATTAATTATTTGGGAGGGGAAATAAGCGAAGGAAATACATAAAACAGAAATATATTGATTTATTGCATCTCCACTAAGGTTTTCAGTTTTCATAATTTTGAATACATGAAGCACCDTTTGTTGTTCTTCAATTCCCAGACGGCTTTCTGAAACAAAAGCTATTCAAATTGTGGCATTCCTAATGAGCCTAATCCATAAGATTTATAAGTATGTTATCTTCCATGGAACGGACGGTAGGGGATCGAGTCGTGAGGGAGTCATGTATCAAAGACTTTTTGCACTAAATTAATGTTAAACTGATTATTTCTAATATTTTGATTATCATTAGCTAGTAATAGTTGGAAACATGGTAGAAGTAACTGGAAA